GAGAAGACCCCTAGTCTGGAGAGCGAAGTGAAGTCGTTATTCCAGAGAGGAAAATTCCCATCACCGAGCTGCGGAATCTTGATACGTTCTTCAGTCGTTGCGGTAGGAAGGACAGATGCCATGGTAGAATTAGGAACAAGTTGCGACGGAGAAAAGACGTCGGAATCGTCTGAAACAGGAACAGCCGTAGATGATGATGTGATAGTTGAAGTATCAGAGGAATTGGATGCGGCTGGAGATGGAGCAGAGGCGATGATAGGATGACCTGAGGAAGCGGACTGTTGACGCTCAGAAGGCTCAATCCCAGAATTGGATGAAGCCATTCAAAAAAAATATGAATTGTGATTCTAAACAAATCGTGCCAATCGATGACGTATTCGCAAAATTAAAGTGATTACCCAAGTAAAAGGCTCATAACCTGTGAGTAATGCACAAAATAATAAGCTTGTCAATACGATAGGCTTATGATGAGTAAAAGAATCGAAACAGATGATCTTTATTTCTTCAAACACAAGACAAAACAGCTACTGCATAACAAACACAAACAAGAGAGAAAGAAATAAAGTGAACATGAAAAGAACAAGCTTACCTGTGAGTAATGCATGAAATAATAAGCTTGTCAATACAATAGGCTTATGATGAGTAAAAGAATCGAAACAGATGATGTTCGACTCTTGGTGCAAAACTTCACAGGTATAAGTAGTGAAAAGAAACAACAGAAGAGAGAGTTAAATATGAAATAACATATGTAATGATGATAATATGAAATAACTGAGAAAGAATAAAGAAATCAAATAATGAAATCAGAAGAACATAACCGTGACAACATTTCAAATATAATCATCATAACCAATAACCAATAGAGAAGACCGAGGTTGGTGTCAGGCAGTGAGGTGTCAGACAGACCAGTGAATGGCACATCATAAGCTACTTCGCGAAGCCTGATAAAACACAACAATCAGCAAAAGTTCAACTGCATCAGGTTAATACCAGATCACTTTGGAACAGGTGCAATCAAATACTCGAACCCAGGTTGAACATTGGTAGGGTTCAAAAGGGTGCTCATTTGAGCAGGTGACAAACGGTGATTCATCATGAGAACGGTACTGGTGGTCTCAGCAAATTAGGAAGTGTAGATGTTGAACAAGGAAGAAAAATCGAGTTCTGATGATCAAAGATAATGGGTGGTATGACGGGAACCAATCTGAAACTCAATTGGTCCTGGATGGATGTCTATGAAATCCATGGGTGGTTCACTTGTGGTTGGAATATGGGTGAAGACTGCTCAGCATGAACAACGGAAGGAAAAGGAAGGGAACCAGGAAATGAAGCCCAGAGAGCTTTTAGGGGGCTTACATGACGGAGGATACAGGCCATACTAGGGATATGCGGGTGTCCAGAGGCGCTTACATACGCCGTGTGCACGGACCACCAACCCAAATGTTTGGTAACAAGATTTCAACCTTTTTGCATTTGACTGTATTGGTTTTCTGATACTTTACTTGATACAATTTCTGAAATTGATGATATCGTCCAACTCCCAGGGACATGAGAGTAAGGTATTGGTCAGACCAATACTAAGTATCTTGATACTTATACTGGAAAAAAAGTTACTTTACCATTACTTTACTGTAAACAGTAAAGTAACTGTGGCAGTGTTGCTTAAATTTTTCAGCCCCTTTGACTCTCCAAAAAGATGTCTCAAGACAAAACCTTCTCGAGTATGGGGCTTTGATCTCATAAGGGGACAGGGAGAAATTTGAGTAGCTTCCTCTGATTAGGCCAAACCATGGTTTAACTTGAACCCTACATTTCTCTGCTTATCACTACACAAAATATAATATTTTCTGGGCAGAAAATTAAATTATTGATACACAAAAATATTGAGAGGCCAGGAGAAGGGCAAAAAATAAATAAAAATATGCATCTTGTTCCCTGCGGTGAGAGCTTCACTCTCCATATTTTTCCATATTTTTACAGTCCGTATTGATAAGTGTACTAACAATAAACCTTCATAATCATCCAATTACAACCTGTAACAAGCACTGAAATTTGGCTCATTAGTGTTTAGAGAAACTTTTGATTTCTGAAAACACCTATAACTTTGTCAAATCTGCCTCAAAACACTCGATTTTAAGTGCATTAGAAAGCTGAACTCTTCCTCTCAAACTTTCATAAGGTCAAGAACTATGTAGCTAGTATGACAATCATTCTATGGATCTGTATGTACAATGTACAAAAAAGATTATATCTTTTTTAGCAGACCAGCATGCTGTGTGGTCCTATTATGAACTATTTGGAGGACAATTCCAGCTTACCAATGCACCCAAAATCGAGCGTTTTGGACTGGAATTGAAAAAGTTATGAGTATTTTCAGAAATCAAAAGTTTCTCTAAACACTAATGAGCCAAATCTCAGTGCTTGTTACAGGTTGTAATTGGATGATTGTGAAGGTTTATTGTTAGTACACTTATCAATACGGACTGTAAAAATATGGAAAAATATGGAGAGTGAAGCTCTCACCGCAGGGAACAAGATGCATATTTTTATTTATTTTTTGCCCTTCTCCTGGCCTCTCAATATTTTTGTGTATCAATAATTTAATTTTCTGCCCAGAAAATATTATCTTTCTTGTAGTGTATGGAAAGTTGCCCTAGCTGTGATTCCCTATTAAGGCTATTACCTTTGTTCTAAGCTTACGCGCTATTCGCGCTTTTCCTTTTCTTAAATGCTTTTGCCTCTTTCCTTATTTTGTTATATTCTCTTTCCCTCATCATTTGTAAAATGGATCCGTTCCGATCCGTTCCGATCACGTACCGTGTCCCTTTGTAGACCGAATCCTACAGTACCGGATTTGGTCATGTCTCTCTTACTCAGACTTTGTATCACGGCAATCTTCGATCGCCTTTTCATTGTACCACCATTTCACTACCACTGCCAGCATTAAATAGGTTCCCTGGTAGGAACATGACCTAGGCTGGGAATATAATTGAGAGAAGAATGGAGCATCAAATCATCTTGCACTGTACATCTGAGCCATAAAGCATACACTACATATGTGCAAACATCTGAGTAAATCCTTAGATATCAGCTACATACATGTCCGCTCAGTTATCTGCTCATCTAGATAAGCAAATCATGTGTAATACATGCTGTAACTTTGTTCAGCTTGAGACACACATTTCAAAATATTGACTACATATATCACAATGGTTGCTCAGGAAATATACATGGAACTGTGTAACAGTAGCAGAATGGGAATATGATCCCTACCACCCATATTCCCATCTGGGAACCTCTTTAATGCTGGAAGTGTACTTCCTTATTTGTCTCTCACTGGAGGATGCTCGACTATATAGAGCCCTCGCATCCTCATAGCAATGAATCCCCTAAGTTACTTCCCACCTATTTTCGCACCCTTGAAAGTGAGTGGAATCACAAATATATATTTGTGTGTTTTTTTATTCTTTTCCTTTCTCTAACTTTAATATCATCGACAACCCGATATCGAAAAAGGTTCCCCTCTTAATCTGTGATCATCTATCCTAACTCTGTGCTTCTCTATATCCTTTTTGTTAGACAACCGTTATCGAAAATCCTATAACCCGAGGCAACAAATATCCCCACAATCCAGATTAACCCCGTCGTAAGTTTTTGTAATTTCCTAGCTAGTCATTCCGATTCCTCTCGACACCTTTCCTTTCGATTAGTTAGAGTAAACTAAAATAGAATTCGTATTTATTTTATACACACAGAATCAACCAATACCTAACAACCGTTAACAAACCAACCACCGTTTATCAAAACATCTTTATCGCGCTTTTGAGCATCCCGATTTTTAAATCAGTCATCTTTCTTTTTGAAGAATTTACGTACGTACCTTTGGACTCTGATCAAGTCCCTAATTTTTAGAACGACATTTTAATTGCTTCCATTTTCTAAAACCTTTACGAACAGCTATCACCAAATGGAAGAACACAACGGTTTCGTCCAGATTCCCGCCGAGGATCTCCGTTTAATCCGTGCTCAGCTCGAAGCATTTGGCAATGAATTGCACCAACGCGAACAAAACCATGCTCGCGAAATCGCCAATCTTCGTCAACAAAACCAGAACGTGTTTCAACAACAGTCTAATCAAATCGGTCATCTTGAAAATTTACTCAACAATCGCAACCAGACTCCTGCTCCAACCAAGCCCGACGCTTTTCGCGCCGAGCCTAGAAAATTCACTGGTTATGGCGATAACCCAACTCTCTGGTTCTCTGAGTTAGACACGGTGGAGTTAGAATCCAATTTCAGGATGCATAGATATCCCGAGTCCTCCTGGGGAGAAATGATAGGATCATACCTCGACGAGGAAACTCACATGTTCTGGCACGAAGTCCGCAAATCCCAAGGCGGCGCAATTACCGACTATCAAAGTTTCAAAGAACAATTTCTAGGCCAGTACAATTTCGACATGATGGTTGAAGAAATCATGGAGAAGATTGAAGTATGCAATATCTCTCTCATTCTTGGCCTGCCGTGGTTACGCGAACAGAAACCTCTTGTCAACTTCACAACTGGTGTTTACATTGTCAAGAATGGATTCAGAGTAAGACCAAGACAATACGAACCAAAACTTTTTACAATGGATGAGGATAACTACGAAAAGTTACTAGAAGACTTAGCAAGAAAGACCGCACCAGCTTGTTGGAAAGAAGAAATAGGAACTGTGAATGGTAAGTACAAACACCATATAGACACTGGTGATGCTAAACCCA